GCACGGTCGGAGCATACCTCGAGCATGTTCAAATCATACCACGAGCACGGTCGAAACACATCTCGAGCATAGTCGAAACATACCTCGAGCACGGTCAAAATATACCTCGAGCACGGTCGAGCACGGTCGATTCGTACCACGAGCACGGTCAAAGCATACCTCGAGCACAGTCGTGAACGGTCGAAACATACCACGAGCACTGTTGAAACATACCTCGAGCACAGTCGAAACATACCTCGAGCACGGTCGATCACGGTCGAACCATACCACGAGCACAGTCGAGCACGGTCGGATCATACCTCGAGCACGGTCGAAACATACCTTGAGCACGGTCGAGCACGGTCGAAACGTACCACGAGCTCGGTCGAAGCATACCTCGAGCAGGGTCGAAACATGACACGAGTACGGTCGAAACGTACCTCGAGCACGGTCGAATTATACCACGAGCACCTACTAATCATACCACGAGCACGGTCAAAGCTTACCTAAAGCACGGTCGAATCATACCACGAGCACGCTCGAAACATACCTCGAGCACGTTCGAAACATACCTCGAGCACGGTCGAATCATACCTCGAGCACGGTCGAATCATACCTCGAGCACGCTCGAAACATACCTCGAGCATGGTCGAAACATACCTCGATCACGGCCGAGCACGGTCGAGACATAACACGAGCATGGTCGAAAAATACATCGAGCGCGGTCGAAATATACCTCTAGCACGGTCGAAACATACCTCGAGCACAGTCGAGCACGGTCGAAACATACCACGAGCACGGTCGGAGCATACCTCAAGCATGCTCAAAACATACCACGAGCACGTCGAAACATACCTCGAGCACAGTCGAAACATACCTCGAGCACGGTCAAAACATACCTCGAGTGCGTCGAGCACGGTCGAAACGTACCTCGAGCACGGTCGAATCATACCACGAGCACCGTCGAATCATACCACGAGCACGGTCAAAGCGTAACTAAAGCACGGTCGAATCATACCACGAGCACGCTCGAAACATACCTCGAGCACGGTCGAAACATACCTCGAGCACGTTCGAAACATACCTGCAGCACGGTCGAATCATACCTCGAGCACGGTCGAATCATACCTCGAGCACGCTCGAAACATACCTCGAGCACGGTCGAGCACGGTCGATTCATGCCACGAGAACGGTCAAAGCATACCTCGAGCACAGTCGTGAACGGTCGAAACATACCACGAGCACTGTTGAAACATACCTCGAGCACGGTCGAAACATACCACGAGCACGGTCGGAGCATACCTCAAGCATGCTCAAAACATACCACGAGCACGTCGAAACATACCTCGAGCACAGTCGAAACATACCTCGAGCACGGTCAAAACATACCTCGAGTGCGTCGAGCACGGTCGAAACGTACCTCGAGCACGGTCGAATCATACCACGAGCACCGTCGAATCATCATACCACGAGCACGGTCAAAGCGTAACTAAAGCACGGTCGAATCATACCACGAGCACGCTCGAAACATACCTCGAGCACGGTCGAAACATACCTCGAGCACGTTCGAAACATACCTGCAGCACGGTCGAATCATACCTCGAGCACGGTCGAATCATACCTCGAGCACGCTCGAAACATACCTCGAGCACGGTCGAGCACGGTCGATTCATGCCACGAGAACGGTCAAAGCATACCTCGAGCACAGTCGTGAACGGTCGAAACATACCACGAGCACTGTTGAAACATACCTCGAGCACAGTCGAAACATACCTCGAGCACGGTCGAGCACGGTCAAAACATACCACGAGCACAGTCGAGCACGGTCGAATCATACCTCGAGCACGGTCGAAACGTACCACGAGCTCGGTCGAAGCATACCTCGAGCAGGGTCGAAACATGACTCGAGTACGGTCGAAACGTACCTCGAGCACGGTCGAATCATACCACGAGCACCGTCGAATCATACCACGAGCACGGTCAAAGCATACCTAAAGCACGGTCGAATCATACCACGAGCAAACATATCTCGAGCACGGTCGAAACATACCTCGAGCACGTTCGAAACATACCTCGAGCACGGTCAAAACATACCTCGAGCACGATTGAGCATGGTCGAAACATACCACGAGCACAGTCGAGCACGGTCGAATCATACCTCGAGCACGGTCGAAACGTACCACGAGCTCGGTCGAAGCATACCTCGAGCAGGGTCGAAACATGACTCGAGTACGGTCGAAACGTACCTCGAGCACGGTCGAATCATACCACGAGCACCGTCGAATCATACCACGAGCACGGTCAAAGCATACCTAAAGCACGGTCGAATCATACCACGAGCAAACATATCTCGAGCACGGTCGAAACATACCTCGAGCACGTTCGAAACATACCTCGAGCACGGTCGAATCATACCTCGAGCACGGTCGAATCATACCTCGAGCACGCTCGAAACATACCTCGAGCATGGTCGAAACATACCTCGATCACGGCCGAGCACGGTCGAGACATAACACGAGCACGGTCGAAAAATACATCGAGCGCGGTCGAAATATACCTCTAGCACGGTCGAAACATACCTCGAGCACGGTCGTGCACGGTCGAAACTTACCACGAGCACGGTCGAAATATACCTCGAGCACCTTCGAATCATACCTGGAGCACGGGCAAAACATATCTCGAGCACGGTCGAAACTTGAATTGAGCAGATCAAGAAACGAATTTTTGTCGGATTTTTATTGGCCAAACTGTGAACAGATGCATACAGCAAAATTATCCAGTATATGATTTTTTTGAAGTGCAGATAGCTAGACCAGCATATTTGCTGATCATAAACAATACCGCCACGAGAAGGCCTACATAAGGTCCCAAAAACATTTAAGCAAAATTGTTGGGGCAACGACAAATTATTCTGGAGAAGGTCAAGCCGTTTGTGCGCATTTCTCAAAATTAGGTCTCATTCGCAACAGAGTTTGAAGTAATTAAAAAAGGAAAAAACATTTATAAAGAGCTGAAAGTGATCATGCTTACATCTTTGCAAGTTGCATAGGATGGTTCGATCATAGCACAGTCGAGCACGGTCGAATCATACCTCGAGCACGGTCGAAACGTACCACGAGCTCGGTCGAAGCATACCTCGAGCAGGGTCGAAACATGACTCGAGTACGGTCGAAACGTACCTCGAGCACGGTCGAATCATACCACGAGCACCGTCGAATCATACCACGAGCACGGTCAAAGCATACCTAAAGCACGGTCGAATCATACCACGAGCAAACATATCTCGAGCACGGTCGAAACATACCTCGAGCACGTTCGAAACATACCTCGAGCACGGTCGAATCATACCTCGAGCACGGTCGAATCATACCTCGAGCACGCTCGAAACATACCTCGAGCATGGTCGAAACATACCTCGATCACGGCCGAGCACGGTCGAGACATAACACGAGCACGGTCGAAAAATACATCGAGCGCGGTCGAAATATACCTCTAGCACGGTCGAAACATACCTCGAGCACGGTCGTGCACGGTCGAAACTTACCACGAGCACGGTCGAAATATACCTCGAGCACCTTCGAATCATACCTGGAGCACGGGCAAAACATATCTCGAGCACGGTCGAAACTTGAATTGAGCAGATCAAGAAACGAATTTTTGTCGGATTTTTATTGGCCAAACTGTGAACAGATGCATACAGCAAAATTATCCAGTATATGATTTTTTTGAAGTGCAGATAGCTAGACCAGCATATTTGCTGATCATAAACAATACCGCCACGAGAAGGCCTACATAAGGTCCCAAAAACATTTAAGCAAAATTGTTGGGGCAACGACAAATTATTCTGGAGAAGGTCAAGCCGTTTGTGCGCATTTCTCAAAATTAGGTCTCATTCGCAACAGAGTTTGAAGTAATTAAAAAAGGAAAAAACATTTATAAAGAGCTGAAAGTGATCATGCTTACATCTTTGCAAGTTGCATAGGATGGTTCGATCATATTCGTTTTAAAAAAAATCAGCAGAAAAAAAATCAGCATAAAAAAATTTCAAAAACGTTTGTCCGCTGATTTTTTTTCAAAAAATACTTGTACTTTTTTTGGGAATTAAATGTATGTTTCTGAAGTCATTGCTCAAAGGGTCGAGGGATGTAAGTTTTAGAAAAAGCCAAAAATTGTGTTTTTTTAATAGGTCGGCCGAATTGATTTTCCGAGGTCTCCCAAAACACTACTTAAGACCGTACTTTGCCAGGACTTTCTGCGCCGCCAAAAGTTCCGTGTTTAGGAACCTTTTGTGAAAGGTTTCCACAAAAATGATTCTTTGTAGCTGGCTTTTCGCCACTCCCATCCCATTCAAAATTAATTTATAGTGGCACCGAAGGCGCGTTGAGAAAGACTTAAGTTGGATCAGCCAAAATTGGATGTCGACAATTAATTTCGAGATCGTCAGATTGTGTAAGTGATTCCATGCCTTGGCAATGATAGTGGGTGAGGACGAGCTCTCACTTTATCTCTAGCGTCAGGTCTTCCACAGCCTGACCGATTACGGCTGAAATAGTAGTACCACGTGAAAGTTCTAGATGCTAAAAAAGCCTTTGAATCGCACAAATAGAGCTTCGCTTATGACTATGCTTAGACAGGCTGGATAGCTTTACATAGGTCTGCGAATCGCAAAGCCAATTCTCAAATTTCTGGTAAAAAGGTGGTGTTTCTGCTCAGGAAAGTCCAGTAAAATTTGCCTCGTAGAACATGAAATATAAGTATTGTGTTTTTTTTTGGTAAACCTGGGAGTAGCACGTGTTCAAGCCATAACCTTTTCTCGTGGCATGCCGGAGCATTACATGTATCGCATCGCAGAAGTATTAGCCAAAATAGATGCAGGTCTTACAAACAAGCACAATCAGCTAACCGATATGAACTTAGGGGTTCGCATTATGAGATGGTTCCTTCTTATAATGGAACTTTCTTTTTGGGTAAACATGAAAATTCTTTTAAAAAAATGAAAACCGTAAAAGTTTTTGTTCCAGGTGTGTCCAGTGAACTGGAAGCCAGGCAAGAAAGCGATTGTGATCGATTCAAACATAACGGAGCGGATCAGAAATGCCAATTGCGAATAAACACTCAAACATTTGCGGGAATATTAAACATGTTGACATCGGAGATGAAAGGAACATATAGTTTACAAATGCCCTTTACTACCCTTTTTGGAGCACCCCCACCCCTCCCCCGCCCCTCTGGAGAATAAAAGTTAATCATTCGGAAATGAAAAGATTGCTGTACTTCCTAAATGCCCCCAATACGTGCGCTTCAAAGCGGAGATTGTAAAGTAGATCCGATTATAGTCAAATCATGTTACAGAATCTTAAATGAGTGTTAGCTACAAAGATATATGAGCTGAATATCTGACCTAAATATATGACAGTAAAAAAATTAAAGCTAAGTTTAAAAAGAGTTTTGAAAACATCGAGACAAAACTAGATCTCGCAAAATTTTCGTTTTTTATCTCGATTTCTCAGAATTAAAGTTGAAACTGAGTAAAACAATTGATAATTAAACTAGCATTGACTTAAAATTTACGAAGCGATAAGAAAGCGGAAAGTTTTTGTGCAGATAGTCAATGAGCCGAAAAAAGTGATTTCAAAAAGAAAAAAATAAAACATCAAAAAAATTTTTAGATACCAAAGACCAAAAACAAAGAAAAACATGTTTCGCTCATCAAAAGTGCAAAACAAAACACCTAAGCCAATATAAATTTTAGGTCGAATTAAAAAAAAATGTGTAGGTGCATTTACAAACATTAAAAAAATGAAATTTTGATTAGAGCGTGAACTTAAATGCAGAACCGGTCAAAATATAACTGATATATGCCAAAAACACAAAACTTAGACACAAAGGCGAAGTGGAGCTTCACATTTTTTGCGATAAAACACAAACATAAATAAACACAAGTAAAAGAAAAGAAAAATGACAATAATAAATAATCTGGTGCAAAATAATAAAATGCACAAAAATCATCATGTCGCAAATGTATTGTCTCAAGTTAAGTTTATAATGAATTTGGCCTCTGAAAAAAAAGTTGCAAGAAAAATAATACTGATCAACGCTCACATACCACCTTTTCAGAGTTTTAACTCACAGGCCGAGTGGAGTTTGCACAACTTGCGTTACAAGTCAAAATAGTTGTCAGAAAATCCGACAAAATCCGAAAATGCTTACAAGCTTTCGAAGCAAGATTAGTTCAAGCTAATTTATCGTATCTTTATTTCAATTTCTCAGAAAGAAAATTAACGTTTGTTTTGAGCTAAACAATTGAATAAAAAACTAGCATTGACTTAAAATTTGAAAAGCGACAAAAAAGCGGAAAAAATTTGAGCAGATAGCCAATAAGCCAGAAGAAAAAAATGACAGAGAAAAAATTAAAACTTCGAAATTTATAATTAAACGCCCCCACAAACCCCCCCCCCCCCCCAAAGAAATCGAAAAACAAATAAATATGTTTTGCTCATCAAAAAGCAAAATAGAATCAGTGAGCCGATAAAAATTTTGAGCCAAAAAATGCAAAAAAATGTCACCTTTTCTGCATAAAAAACTCTCGCAATCGTATCTTTCGACTGAACCTTTCATTTCAGATTTGATAGGGTTTTTTTTAAAGTCCAAAAAATACTAAACGACGGTCAAACTTTCAAAAACTTGACTTGCCGAATCCATATAATTTTTCTGTAAAAATAAATTGTGGCCATCTATTGAAATTGAAAAACAAAGTAAATTTTATGGCTAATTTCACCTATTGTGGCGCCTTTATAACATTTTTCACTCAAAAGTGGAAGATAAAATGAGAGACTTCGAAAACTAATTTTTTTGCTATGTTCGCTTCAAAAACAGTGGTTGGAATATGCTGTACTATTTGCGCAATGAACCCCTCAAACATATAGAGCTCGGGTTCTCATAATGAGTTAGGACCGAGTTGGTTAACTCATAGAGTAATTTCGGATAGGGTACACCGTCTGCTCGTCACGCTATCTTATTTTCGGCCGGATAGATTCGTGCAACTTCTTAGTCTAATACCGATCCTAATCTTACTCTTATACTATCTAGTCTCAGGTTGTTTAACTAGTCTCTGCTAGGCTCAATAGATCTAGGGTATACTGGTTTATTGCGGCTGCTGAAGTGCTCGGGAGAGTCCAACTAATTTCTAAGTTAAATTCAAATCTCTCTGGTGCTGAAATTACAAGTAACTTCAGCACTTACAAATAAGTGGGTTGTTAGTTAGATGGATCATGATTGGTTAATATTAAATACTTTACATTGGTAAAATATCTAATTTATCCAATCATAAAATGTAGTTTAGATCAGGTTCCACCCATCCGGGTTTTACAAAGTTTTTTAGAATAGTTCTTCTGCGATTCGAAGGATGGATGATGGACGTTGGTTTTTGGCGAACATCATTTTCTTCCGTTTCCTCTTTGTTAAAGAAGTTCCAGGAAGCTGGAGTTAGAGACATAAGACGTGGTGTCTTCTAGTGACAACGACTAAGTCTTTGCAACAAACTCAAATCTGATTTCAGAATGGTTTGCTATGTCAGGTTTTTCTGTTCTGCGTGGAGAACTTCTTTTGGGTCTGATCTAATTTGGGAATGGCGTGGAGATTGTGCGTGGAGGGGATGCCTGGTTACTCGGATCTGTACGTATACTTGGACATCGAGGTGGTCATTGGTCTAGTTCAATGAAGTCCTTTTCTGCGAAGTCAAGTCGTACTCTAAATCCTTTGAGTTGTGATTGTGAGTGGCATATCGATTGTGGTTGGCCATTCTCTCTCGAGTGTAGTGGGGTCGTTTTGTCTTTAGATGTTCGTCCTTGGTGTTGTATTCTGATCTATGTATTGCATAATGTAATTTACATTTTATAAAACATTTATTAGTTTAATATTTTTTAATTATGATTTTAGTTAATTGTTTTCACAAAAGCTTTTTGTTTTAGTTCGGTTATTTTGAAGAGTTACTCACACTTGAGTAGCTCTTATTAAAAATAGAGGTGTGGTCACAAAGCGTGGATGTAGCGCGGTGGGTTAGGCCGGCTATAGAGCATGCTCAGGACGTCCTTCCTGGTGGGTTAGGCCAGGAGTGGGAGTATGATTTCATGCGGTTTTTGTGAGGGGTCCTGTTATGTGACAACGTTTTATGTTGGGTTTGTTGTGGTTTTTCTTATGTCTTGTTGGTTATGTCCTTTTTCCAAAAAGCAAATTGTTCGTGGTATGGGTTTGTCTTTCGACTTTTTTGTGTTTTATTATTTCTTTCTTAGACTTTATAATAGTCTTCAAAAGAATAAATTATCCAGTTTTAAGCTGGGTTAATCCGGTTTGGGTACCGTTGGTTTCCTTTTCTTAGTCATGCTGTTATTCTATGATTTGTGGTATTTAGTAAGCTGCGTTGGTTAGTTTTGTTTAGTATATGATTCCTTTCCAACCGGGTTAAAGGAAAGTTTGAAACATGTTATTATATGTTAGAGTTGTTGAGTGTGAAAACTTGAAACTGAAATTCATTATTTTAAACAATTCTTCGTGGGCGAGCTGTGCGAGTGTGGATAGAATTTCTGTGCGAATAAATGAGAATATCAAAAGGTTAGTACTGCATTTGCATTTTATTAATTTACTGCATAGAATTTGGAAATTTACTGCTAGTTATGGGGGAATTTTAAGTTACAAATTTTCATCATAATTAGATTTACTGCTTGTGGGGAAAATTTTAGAAATGAATTTACTGCATTGGTATTAAATTTATAAATTTATAAGTGTAAGAGATTAATAGAATTGTTGAAATCTGTTTGATGAAATTTGCGATCTTTATTTGTTTTTTGTGGTTTTTGTAGGTGATGATCGTCGGATGAAGGCTAAAAATCTAAGGAAAACATGGATAAAGTATGGTGAGTTTTTTAATATTTAATTAGTTAGTAATATTCATTTAATTCATACTTACCTGTTAGTCGTCGGGGAAAAAACCGTGGGGGAAGATGTCGTGAATTAGTTCTGAAGTTGTTAGTAGTTTAGCTAAGATGCGGATGATATTTTTAGTCTGAAGCAGTGGCCAAAGCAATTGAAGTGCCTTAATAGTGGTTAGTTCTTCAGTGCCAACTGCAAACTCATAAGGTGTGTTTTGGATTAGATTATATAATTTGTGATTGAATTTAGTGTTGTGGATGAATTCTAAAATTGGGATTTCTATAGGTTGTACAAACTCGTGCGGGATAAGGAAGGGTCGGGATTCTTCGGCGTTGAAGGTCTTGGTGATGGGACAGAAGATGTACATTTGGGTTATGGGATCATAATTGCGAAGAATACCATGAAGGTTAGTATCTTTAATGCAATATGTGAAATTTAGGAAAAATGGTGAAGTGTATTTGGAATTAATGAATTGAAAACGATGGTGTGGTTGTCTAGAGGGTGTGTGTAGGTCAAAGTGATTTTGGATGAAGCGATAATAACTATATGTGTGGGTTTGTTTAGTGCGCAACATAATATCGTGTGAGCAGTGTAAATCTCTTTCGTGTGGTGCAAGGAAATGAAAGGTTAGTGAAAATATTTGGAAGCGTTCTTTAAAACTTTCGTATGCTTGTGTGTCTGTTAGTGCTTCTGAGATAATGTGATCAAACTTTCGGTCGAAGATGTTTAGTGTAAATATATATGGTGTCTTGATGAAAAATTTTTCGGTAATTTGTGGATTAGCGAAGCGATCGTCGTCTAAGAATTGATCTTGGTTAGCTCTGATGATGTTGTGATCATAGTATTCTAGTGTATATTCGTTAGCTCTAGGTGCAGTGTGTGTTTTTAGTGATTTTTTATATCCAACGTAAGTAAATTGTCTAGCGGTTAGTGGTGTAGTGAGTCGATATAGCATGTCCGTATTTCGCTCTATATCGATGTGAGTGTTAGATAAAGGTAAGCAAAGAGGGTTAGTAAAATGATAATATGAGGTCCAAGAGAGAGTGGGCATTAAAACGTATTCATCTACAAAGTTGCGTGTTTCGTTAGTGTCGTGGGGGGTGTTTAAGGTGTATTGTGGGAATGAGGGTAAGGTGATGGCTAAAAATTCTTTTGTGTTAGTATGCTTGGGGTGGTTGATGTATTCACGGGCTGTTCCTGGTTTTGCTGGGAAAGGATGGTTGGGGAACTTTCTTTTAAAAGTGCGGTAAGCTCTATTAGTGTTGAGTGAAGATTCAGTTGATGTGGATGATGGTGCTAATGATTCAGTATAATTTGAAGAGGGTGTAGGGGTAGGGGGGTTGGATGAATTTATTGTGGAGGAGATTTGGTTTATTGTTGGGGTATGGAGGTGGTAGGGTTGTTGTTGAAGGGTAATAAAATTATCTAGCTCTGGGGAGATTCGCGGGGTGTCTGGAGAATGAGATGATTGGTCAGAATGGTATGAGGAGTAGGTTGGGGTAACTTGGGAAGCATAA